ACGTGCCCTTGCTTTTGACCAACGTAGTCCATGGTGGTATCTGATCCACCCAATTCCCAAGTTGTTGTTCTCTCAGGTACAATTTCCGAAGATCATTCTGACGTACAGCCACCTTCCCACAGAACTTGATATGTGGCAAATCCTCTTTATGATGTTCATGCCAGGTGTCGAAATCAACCTCAGCATTGAAGTAGGAAGGCAAGCCAGTCGTTCTGCAGTTGGGCTGTAGCATGACAACCTTGACGAAACAAACGTCTAAATCGTGCATCGCTGCGTCTTGGACCTCCCTGTTGCCAAGATTAACAAGAGCACGTTCGTCGAGGTTCCCCCCTGAAGACAGACCTCGGCTGAATGCTAGCTGGGAGGTGCCTCCAATTCCCCCACATAATTCTAACATATCTACCTTGCGTCGCCCGTAGCACAAGGTGGGGATTATGGAGAATACATCTGCGTAGGATTCAGCAGGTCGCCCCGCGGGTAGGGCGATGAAGGTCTCCTCTCCATCGCCACTATCCGTGTCGGAGTCCAGAGGTACGTCGGTGTAGTATATACTACACCCGAGTCCTTTAAGGTCGTCTCCACAATCGTCGTTGCCTTCTTCGACTAGTTTGGGTATCTTGCGTGGTTTGATGCCAGCTTCTTTGTGTGCTTTCTGTTTTTCTGTTTGTTTAATTATGGCATCTGTTGGTCGCGCTGTCTGTCGTTCTGTTCCGGCGAGCGAAATGTCGGAAATTCGGGAATAGAGGGTAGCACGCTGCCGCGCTCAATCGAAGGGGGAGGGGGGCGATCGTCGTCGATGATCGCCACTCGCCTTGAGCGTGAGTTGCCATATCCAAAAAGAATCGGTTCCGGCTGCTCCCAGCACCGTCGACTACGGACGTTGGTAACACCATCGGGTACTGGTGCGTTGTAGCTGTACCCAGTCGGCTGGTCCTGGATCCCGATGCCCTGGGCGATCGTATTGTCGCCCAGGTTCATCGCCACCCGTCTCACAACATGGTCCCATTCAGGGTCATTCTTAGGAGACTGAACGTTAGTTCGAACTCCTTTCTCAACGCGAGTATGGATACTCAGATGTACAGCACTTGTGTGATTTCTTTGTGTTATGAAAATCCATTTGATCAATCAACCTTGTGGTCATGATCGCTAGTGTCTTATTCCGCCATTCAGCCTTCTGAGCACCTTGTCCACACCAGTCTCGAATATGCTCAGTCGGTTCTGCAGGTTCCCCTGCTATGTTGCATGCGCCTCGCCGTAAATGGGCGGGGATGCGCGCGCGCATAGTCGCCACTTGCAGATGCGATCCGCTAGGCAACTTGTTCGCGCGGTCGCACTTGAAGCCAAAGTGGCAGAAACGCATGCGCATGACTTGTAAGTTAAGATCTTCAATAGCATCTCGCATGGGACCTCGTCTCCAGAAATATCCCGGTGGCCCCACAAGTACAATGGTCACGCGTAGAGCCCGAGCCTTGGACATCAGATTTTGGATACGCCGGCAGCGCGGCCCTGCCCTCTTGCCAGGCAGCCTCACACGCCAGTCAGCAGGTGTTGCAACCACGGCAGTTTGTAATCACCCGAGAGTAGCGCACCCCAAAAAACTGTGTACCAGTAGAGGTCATCACCTCCGCATGTGTAATACGATCGCACATATATCCACGGGCTCGGAGTTCAGCGCAAGCTGTCCGTATATCCTCGATAACGAATGCGCGAGAATGATACTGATGCGACAATCCTGCTTTTTCTGCAGCGGCCACACAGCCGGGTCCACTGCGGTTCGTGGCAGCCTCGCAACCGGGCTTGCCGCGGCCCCTGGCGCGCACAGCCGGTGCCTGGGAAAAGACTGCAGGTTTCCCCGCGTTTGCTGACAGCACCTGAGTGTTCGGCCTGTCTGAGCAAGCGCGAGTGGCCGCGGCACGCGCCTGCCCCCGTCACTCGTTTGGCGATGGGGGCGCCCAAATACCAGCGCCGTGCTGCGCTGCAGAACCGCTGCTTGAAGTAGAAATATCTAGCTTCTCAGCAGTATCATCCACTTCCGCAGGTGCCCCCGCTTGTGCATCAGGAGGCGTCCGCTTCGCGCCCTCCTCGTAGATGGCCTGATATCTTCGCCTGCAAACTGCAGAGGGCGAAGTCCTTGTCGGCCGAGGTACGGGGTAGTCCCAAAGGACGTATTTCTACGATGCCATGCCCTCAAGGTGTCATTCACCAAAGACTGGATCGTGAAAGCGAACGTCTCCTCATTAATAGAGAAACTGATGCCCTTCGTATCTTGTGACATCATGTATGCGTGGGCACCATGCACAGCAGGTGCCCCTGCGATTGGCTCTGGACCGAATACTTCCTTGACGAGTGATGGAGCTTCTTCGCACTGAGGGTTGGCCGTGATAGTAAACGACATCGACCCTTGATCCCCAGTAGCGGTCTCGTACTCGTCAGCTTTGAATGCCAGATGCCCGGAGGGCGTCTTCACCAGATCAAGTACCCCGGCACCCTTTCCGAGTAGAACCTTGTGCATCTCCACGCCAGGGATGGTCATCTTCTCGCGCCCCTGCTCAAGGATCAGGATGGCCCTCACGTTGGACATGCTCCTCAGACCCAAGATGGCAGGGAGGTTCTCCCCAGAGCCCTCAGCCGCATTTGCTGAGTACGTATCAAGTCTCGGCACAGCAGGTTGCCCCGCGGGATCTCCCTTCTCTTCGCACGCACTCTTGCAATGCAGGGATCTGTCGCAAATCGCGGCGCCATGCCCCACTCCTGACACGTAAAGCCTCTTCGTGAGGTTCAGTATTTTAATAGCGTGTCCGTAGGAAGGTGATACCTGCTCAAAGGTCTGTGCCGTTTTTAATCCAATGATATTGATATTACTGCCAATTTCCAGAAGCATAGTCAACATACCATTGATCACAGTTCCACTGCTAGCTGCCAAGGCTAGCTCATGGTGTTCACCAAATATTCCAGGAACTTCAGATACTGTCGTACCAAGCAAGCCTTTGCGGCGCCTCTGCTCCAACACCCAATCATCTCTTGACAAAGATGTGAAAACATCCATATGCCCACGAGCCTCTTCTTCCGGACTCGGATTCTTTTCAAAGATCCAGGCTGTAGGGCATTCGTCATGCATATATGGGTGAAAAGTGGAGGCAGTGGGTAAGTTCAGAAACGTGTCCTCCTCCGCGCGCATGTCCATCTGACCATCAGTATTTATCATAAGTACCGCGTGCAGCATGTCGCGTTCAGATATCCCACTGTTGCCGCTGCGCATGCTTACAGGGCTCTCCGTTCTGCGCTGACTGCGTGGACGAAGGTCGCGCCCATATGGCATATACGAGTGCGAAGACTGAAGCCATTGAGCGCTCCTGTCAGTAGCCCTTTCCATGCGCCTCAACCACGTGTCATTTACTGGTGCCGAAGGTGGAGCCGATCTAGCAAGTGTCCCTGCGTTACTGCCGGTCTCTGCTACCAGTGGCAGAGGTGCGTCAATAGCAGCCGTCCGTGCAAGTGTGGCTGCCTCCGTTACTAGCCCCGCGTTGGCCAGTGATGCAGGTAGCCCCGCTGGTGTCGTCGTCGAAATGGCCGCGGTGCTCGTCATCATGGCCGTGACGCGGTTGAGCTCTTCACGGAGATCCCTGAGCTCGTTCGCCCTTTGGAGAATGTCTTCATGACGATAGAGTGATTCTTGATCTCCAGCAAGGGCGCAGTGGAACCCGGCAGTAATGAAGCCAACACCCCTGCATATAGCACAGGGGGCCTCGCTCGCGGAACCTTCCATGTTTCCAGCCAGCTGCCTATCCAAATGGGCGTGTACCACACGATCCCAGCATTGTGCGTGGAATCTGTGGCCGCACTGGAGGCGCCAGACCTTGTCGTGATTCATGAACAGGTCCAGGCAAATTGCACACTTACTGAAGTCGCCGTCACTGATGATGGGCGGTGTTGCCGCTGGCCTGATGCGCATCTGACGTTCCAGGGTGGATTACCCAGCCTCGAACCGAATAGGTGATGACGTCGGTAGCTGCATTGATGCAGCCATGGCTGGACTGCCCGCAGGTGTCCCTGCTGTATTGTGGTTAGCAGGTTGCCCTGCGCGGCTCAGCATTCTGTTGGCCTGACGATCCTGATGTCGGCGCTGGCGCGTGGCCTGCATAGCCCAATTGGCTTGCTGCGCCTCGTGTATGGCCAGGATTTCAGGGCGCATCTCTCCCATGGTCGGCGGCAGCACTAGGCTTGGAGACTGTTGATGCACATCTTGATCCATGGGGGGAGCCAGATAACCATAGTGAGGTATCTGTCCTGGCACTCCTGATGTATGCCCTGAGACACGTGTCAGCTTCGACTGGTAGAAATCGTCGGCCGTCGCCCGAACGCATGGATTTTCGGGCTGCGAGCGGTCCCACGTATAGTCACTTCGTGCTTGGAAAGGGTTGGGCACGTCCCTGGGTAATTACCCTGGGTCTTGATCCACTGGAAATTCATGACGCCATTACATGACAGAACATCATGTGGCCAATTGGTCCGAGGCCAACCCAATCGCACATGGCACCCCGCAAGCACCGGGGTCAACACAGCACCGCGTGGCACCGCACGGCGCCACACGAGCAACCGCTTCGACCTACGGTAGAGGGAAACAATTACTGAACACTCCCCCTCCCCCCAAACTCAACGTTGGCACGCGCGGGGGAGACTGCGGTGGAAGTGCATCTCATCAGACCCACCGCCAACTTTGAACATGGAGGGGAGGAGGGGAGGCGTTGACAGATGAATGTGGCATGAGTGTTCGCTAATTTGTTCCGAGGCCTGTAGCACCCACAAAAAAACACGAGGCACCTCAGGGACCGCGGCGGGTCACGGCTTCCACTCGGCACCACACGGCACCACGGCAGGCAGCAGATCCGAGAGTGGGATATCCGCAGGGGGAGCTCCTCGACATTGTAGAGAGCCCTCACATAAGTGGCGCGAGAACCCCCCTAATCCCTCATCCGCTTCCCCCTGCCCCCGTGCGGCTCCTCTGGCGCAAGTAGCACGCCGGTGCCGCCTGTCACGTTGACGGCCTGGAACTTCTTGGGATCGACGGAACTCGGCTCGACATCGTAGCGCACGACGTCTCCTTTCAGGCAGCGGTGCATGGGCAAACAAGAGTAGCTACTCCGCCCACCCGTTCTCCACACCCCTTCTCCCCTCCTTCCTGCCACCGAGGCATGCACATGCCCCTGCTGCCGAACTGCCAACTGCCCCGTGTTCGTGCTGGATCCCCCGCCTGGAAGCCCCGCCCATGCCTGAGACAAGGGGCCCGCCGGGCAAGCGAGCCACTGGCACACCTTTGAGCTGGCACGAGCAGGTGTCTCGGGGCGAACCCAGATCTGTGGGCTTCCAGGGGTCGCCTGCTGAGAGGACAGCGTCTTGCTCGCGGCGTCGGCCGCGAGGGCGCTAGTTTTCTGGATCCCCAGCTTCCAAGGCGGCCAGAGGCGACGGGGGAGGCGTCCTCTGGCTGGGGAGGGCGGGGGCCCCCCCATTGAGGCGGCAGCCTGAAGGGCAAGTGGAAGAGACCGAATCACGTCGAGTTGTTCTGCATGGCACGGGCCCCATGACTCTCGACCCCAACCACTTGTTCTCGTCGCGGGTCGTTTCTTGATAGCCCTGGGGGCCGTGAACAAACCCCCAGACGCACAAATATTGAAGCAAGGACTGAGGCGATCGTTTCACGACGCTTGGAGGTCTATGGAGGACACTGTGTCCCAGCCCTCGCGATCCTTTCTGAGGGACACCACCGTCGACGCAGAACTTGCCTAGCAGGAATACGTCTGTGCCGTCCTGGCGGAGCGCCGAACGCGCGAACGCGCTGAAACATGGGAGGAGGACACCTCCTGATCAGATCGGAAACTATCTTACTTCAAGAGGCATGTATCCTCCTCCTTCTCCTCCTCCTCCTCTTCCTCCTCTTCCTCATCCTCCTTCTCCTCCTCCTCCTCCTCCTCATCATCATCATCATCATCATCATAATCCTCATCCGGATCCTCATCGTCGTAATCATAATATTCCTCCTCCTGCTCTTCCTCCTCCCCCTCATCATCATCACCACCAACATTACCACCACCACCATCATCGTCATCATCATCAGCATCATCATCGTCATCATCATCGTCATCATCATCGTCATCGTCATCATCATAATCATAATCAGTATCGTCGTTGTCGCCAGCATCGCCATCATCATCATCATCGCTATCCTCATCACCACCACCACCACCAGCTTTTTCTTCTTCAGCATCAACGTCAACAAGAACAACACCATCATCATCAGCATCAGCATCATCATCAGCAGCAGCATCACCATTAGCATCATCCTGAACATCACCATCGTCGTCGTCGCCATCATCAGCAGCAGCATCATCAGCAGCATCATCATCATCATCGTCAGTACCATCAGCATCAACAACAACATCATCATCATCATCATCATCATCATCATCATCATCGTCATCGTCCTCGTCGTCGTCCTCGTCGTCGTCATCGTCCGCGTCGCCGATATGGTCAACATCACCACCACCATCACCCTCATCATCGCCAGCATCACCAACATTAGCATCAGCATCGTCATCAGCACCAGCATCATCATCATCATCAGCATCAGCATCATCAGCATCATTAGCATCATTAGCATCATCATCATCATCATCATCAGCATCATCATCATCATCAGCAGCATCGTCATCATCATCGTCGTTCTCGTCCTCGTCCTCGTCCTCGCCGTCGTCGTCCTCGTCCGCGTCGTTCTCGTCGTCGGCGTCGTCAGCAGCACCACCACAATTACAATCATCATCACCACCGAAAACATCATCATCACCACCACCACCATCATCATCATTACCACCACCACCACCATCACCATCATCATCACCTTGACCATCATCATCATCAGCAGCAGCAACATCCTCTGTTGCACATACTTTCATTCCGCCATCTGTTACGAATGCCAGAATTCCTGAGTTCACAAGCACTACTGCGAGCGCAAATCTCGAACATAATACTCGTCACATCCAAACAACCTTACCTCTCATGGCACCCAGAGAAGCCAAAAGCAGAGGCAAGCAGGACCCAGGACCAAATTGGCGGCCACAAGGACATCGCAACGACCACCAAGAAAGCGCAACAACCACGGGATAGCAGAGCCCTGGACCCCATGAGCGGCCACCAAGACCCAAGGGGGCCCAGGACCCGACGGATCGCCACCGAGAAGTCGCAGCAAAGAAGGGGCCCAACATCTGGGACCCCACGGGGCACCACCGGAATCGCAGGCAGGGCAGGCGGGACCCTGGACTCCACGGACCGCCATCTGGAAATAGCAACATCCAGAGCCAGCGGGCCCCGGGGCGATGGACCCCATGGGCGACCACCAGAAGATAATAACTACCAGGGCCAGCAGGACACGGATCCCCACTGTCACAGCGTAGCGTCAGTGTAATGTCTGAGAGTAGTGGATTCCTCTCACTGCTAAACGCTCTCTATCACGGTGTTATTTTCGAACGTCACAAATTGCACTCCTCTACCAGGCATTGTTGTCGACTGGAGGTCATGTGATCGAGCGCGATGGTGAGAGAGTCGAGATAATGGAAGCATGGGGAACAGCCGCGTCTGTAGACAAAGCGGCAAAAGGGAGCACCACGTCAGCAACATAGTCGAACTGCGTACTGATGTCGCCATTGGGGTGCAGCGAATACGTCTTCAGAATAGTAGCAGATATGCCGCGCTGGCTCCTGTGGGGAAGCCTGTCGTGGGGGTCTTCTGCAATTGGCCGCTTCGAGAAAGGAGCATGTAAGTCGCAGCGTCTGCGATTGCGTGCCGTTATGGGTAGTTAGGATGTTGACACGAGCGCCGCGTCGAACGTGGTGGGCAGACCCTCAGGCGCTGGGTGGCATTCAAGTCGTGAGCCGTGCTTTTGCATCCATTTGATGTCGCCGATGCCGAGGTTTAGCCATCCTGAAGTGTCAAAGCGTGCATATGCGGTCATTGCTGCCATTACACAGGGGGCACCCATGCGAATACACGGCCAAATTGCAATAGCCGATGCCATGTTTTAACAATTTCTCATGCGTCTCGGTGGACTTGGGCAAAAGTGTGGTCGTCGGGTATGCCGTCAGACTGGTACTTAGATGCTCCAAGTGCCGCGCGGCACAGCGTGGCTATCTTCGCAAAGAACCTGCGCAATGGTACCTCTGAGTTGTCGCCAGCACCCTGCGTTTAGAAATCACTCAGATGAGACTGGGCTGGGCTGTCTTTAAGGCTGAGCTTGATCGGAATGTATACACAGGGGTCGCGTATGACACCGGAGCTGAGGACGTGAGCCGATCTGGGCGTGCTGGATAGACTGTGTGCCAATTCTGGACCGAGGGAGCGTTTCGTGGTTGAGTATGGTACCAAGCAGGGTACGCATGTATAGCTTGCACTGTACTTAGTGTTTTGACAGTCAGAAGTCGCACTTGCACTGGGCAAGTATAGTTCGTCCGAAGAATATTGCGTTCTGCTTCGGCGCCGAACCCAAGAATGGTAGTACCCCAATGGTATTGGCGGAGTAGACGTTTACGGTGTGTTCTCCTCGTGCGAAGATGTCCTATATGATTGCGTGAACGGTCGCATGTTTTGCGACGCGGGCATTGGCAGTAGCAGTGATCAAAGAGCGGACGTTGTCGTCGAAGCTGACACCTGTAGTCTGGAGCATGTTGGCGGCTCCTGGGTCTGAAGACGAGGCGAAAGTCGTCGGCGTAGAGCAAAGCACAGATCATGCTGGGCGGACCTCGATCAACCTGCTCCGAATATTGTTGATCGCCTTTGCGAAGGCAGTTCGAAATATGTCGACCGTTTAAGGGAGGAGGGAGGAGGGAAGGAGGAGGTGATAAGGGAAGAAGGGGAAGAGGAGGGGAAGAGGGACGGCGGAAGCAGGGAGGAGAGAAGGGGAACTGGAGAAGAGGAGTTAGAATGGATGAGAAGAGAGGAGAAGAGAGGAGGAGGACGACGACGACCACGAGGCGGAGGAAACGGAGGAGCAGGATGAGGACGACGAGGAGAAGGGGGATGTGGCCCAATGGGTAGAACAACAAAAAACACAACAGAACATGCTGTAGCGTTGAATTCCCAATATCTTCGGCAGCAAAAACTGTAAAACGCGTTCTGCAGACCCGAAGGTGCCCCTAAAAAGCCCCCATCAACTTCCAAACCAAGACGGTCCAAGACGACACAAGACTGTCCAAGGATCCTCAAAAACGACCCCCTCGAAGAACATCCTCTTTGTCCGCGGGGCCCCCGCAGAATCATGGATCGACCAGACCTATGCGGAGAGCCCGTTGCAACAATCTGCTCCAAGAGGGCTCCAGACTGTTCCTGAGGGTCCCTGGCCAGCCCCGAGAACCACAAAATAACGATTGTGAACACATGCTAGGGTTACGGTAGAACCAAACAGTAGGCCCATCTCATGGTAGAAAGAGCCTGAAGCTACCTCGATGCGGTAGTGGGCAGGTGGCGCAGCTTGCCGCATGTAGCTGTATAGCAAGGTGCATGTATTGCAACTTGGCAACTAAGTTGCGAGCTCACCTCTTGTACGATGTTTGAACTAGTAGCGCTGGATTGGCTACATGAAACGAGCGGGTTGCCCTGATACGTGTTCTACCCTCGTGCACACAAACGACTTGCGGACGTCAACAAACCTCAAACGACTGCGGTCATACACAATGCTCTAGAAACGGAACGGACGTACAATCGAACCGTATCTAGTGACCAATGGACAAAGGCTTCGTTATACCAACCATGTGATTAGCAACATGTCAGAACGGCCCAAGCCAAAGCGTGATACGGCAATGCCGTTGGAACAAGAAAGCACGAACTCTGAAACATAGGAATTCTCACTCAATGGTCACACTCCAAGCTCAAAAATGAAGTATTACGCATTTACGTACGCCACGAGCTTCATGCCGCAACCCAACATTACCGCACGCCTCTACGGCACTGAACGAATCGAAATAGCTCCGTGCTGTGCAAATGAATCTGTTGTGCCAAATAAACATATGTCCCACATGCCTGCAACAGTGGCCACAACATTTTCGGACGGTCTCCAACGGTGACGGACAACATGCGTTCACTGCTATCACGCAGTATTAGATTAATAGATTGTCGACCTGTGTCAGGAAATGAATAGGGAAGGAGGTAGAAGAGGAGGACGAGTACCGAGGAGGAAGCTACACGGTGTGCAGCATTTGATGATTGGATGTTGTGCTGTAGGGGGGGCATCACCGGATTGAAGTGTCGAACGCGCACACGTCCTGCATGAACTCATCATGGTTCGGAAACAGCAGACCACGCTAAACCAAATGATGCGGTGGATACCAAAGGCGATGGCCCAACTCATAAATCCCGATGTAGGGAAGACCAACGTTGTGTCCCCGCTCCAAATGACGATGCTGCTCGCCATGAGGAACTGTGGACTGATTCGCCGCCCTAACTCGATATCTGGGTGGAGGGTGACGGCACAATTCTTCAGTGCAAGACACCTGGGTGGAGGTACGAATAGACAGAAGAAAACGATAAGGATCGTATCTCCTCCCTCTCCTGTTCCTCTTCCTCCTCCTCCGTAGCACAACACTGCGCGTCCATTTCGCCTCCGTCTCCTCGCCCTCATCTTGTTACCAACGCCTGATGCACGAATAAAGATGCGGCTGGCGGGTTGCAGCGTGCTGCCAGTTTGCTTCGATCCTTGGCAGTGATGAATCCGAAGCCCTTGTCCACTTTGAATAGCTTCACTTTTCCCTCCCGATCTCCCCGCTCAAGTTGAGAAGACTGAAATGGATGCGCATTACCTTACACAGGCGGGGAAATTTAAATGCAGCAGCAAAAGATCCATGACTCTCAAATGACGAAACGGAAGATGCTTGCTTACCGGCTTGACTGCCTTCTCGTTCTCTTCGGCCAAACTGGCACGTAAACATTCGACTGGGGCGCAAAACATGCATGACGTCTGGTGCTGGTTGCCGTGATAGATACTTCTATTGCCAAAACCGTCATGGCGTTACACTCGATACTGAGGGCCCTTCACTCCTTTGGATGGCTTCAAGAACGCAGTAATTCTAGACTGGACGTGCGAAACCTTTGAATAGTTCGAACGAGGCTTTGGCTCGGGGCCCGGAGTGCCTTCCAAGAAATCTCACGCCGAATCGCTGGCGATTGCACCTCCAACCAGTGGAGGCCGAGGGCCACACGGCGAAGATAACCCCTTTGTGGGCGGTCGCGTTGCACACTCGCAGATGGAAGCCCAGGAAACGCACGCAGACTGACACTCGTGTAGCAGAGCTCTCGCTACGGGCGGTGCCACGAGAAGCTGAGTCCCGTCGAGAAGAAACGAGTACGCCAAAAACTATCGCACGTAATGCCGCGCAGCATGGCACAACTTCCAATAACAATCCAGTAGCATGCTTCTTTCTAGCAGTATATTACATACTTGTGGCGGGAGGCGCAGTAAAATAAAATCATTGAAATCGAAGCTCGCTAACTGGTGCAACACGTATGGAGCCTACGCGCCAAAGGCCCGCTTATCGCATAGCCGTCCAAAGAAGTATTCAATCAAGTTCCAGGGATACACAAAAACAATACAAGTTTCGAAGTAGTCAGATGGAGACACAAGGTCGCCCAAGCAACATGTTCAAAACGACTGCGAATTCACCTTCCAAAAAACTTAACCGCCCCGCCGAACAAAACAAAATGACATCTAGCGAACGCACATACGAACACAAAAAACTAGAACACGGTAACTAACAAAGCTGGTCATGAGAAACGCAAGGAATCCAAAAGGTTCTGGTGGGAAAAACGATTCTAAGGATCACAGAAAGGACAAGGAACATTCAACAATGCTTGTCAGCGTCAACTCCGAGCAGTGGGTCCTTGCAGTCTCGATGTGGACTCCGTATGGTGCAATATATGTGGTGCGACAAGTGTAATAGTAAATATGGTGCGACCCACGTGTGGTGCAAACTGTGGGGTGCAACATATGCCGTGCCAGCTCTGAAATACGATCGATGTGGTACATTTCATGTGGCGCAAGTAACTCGAAGATCATGAAACTGTCAGCCCCAATGCTCGAGCAAACATCCCGCCCACCCACTTTCAACTGTTTGGTAAGACTCGAGAGGGCGCGAGTGCAGCTACCTAGCAGAACTTGCTCGCACGTCCCAGCTGGCGAAGTGGCTTGCGGACCTTTCTAACATCGGTCCATCACATCACCGAAGCGGCCGAATGCTGCTAATAAGGTTGATGATCATGACGATTACGGTGTTGATGATCATGAGGAGGATGGTGACGATGATGATGAGGATGATGATTACGATCATGTCGGGGGAGATCTGAACAAACATTCATTGAAAGAAACCCGTTTTCATGTCTTCATGGATACCCCAATCTTGACATGCGTGAAACAAACCTGGTGTGGGTGTGGGAATGATGCCGACATGCGCGCGAGAGGGGGTCACGTTGCATGCACTATGTTTTAACTGGCAGGGACGCCCGCGGAAATCCCACAAGCCCTCTGGGCTAGAATGATTTTGAGTTATCCCTTTGCGGCAGCAGCAGCGAAAGTAGATGCTTCTCCATTGAGCCAAAGATACCATGCACGTTCGGAAAATAAAAGACAATCCTCAAGCTGAGCCCGACGTGCTATACAGTCCACCTGTCACAAAAATCTGACTTTCCAGCAGGGTCAACACCCCTCATACGCCCCTGTGGCCTGCTGTCGCGCAACCATCTTTGAGAGGACTGATACGAAACCATTGTAACATTGAAACAGATGCCATATTGGAGAGGGGGAGAGAGGGAGAGAAAGAAACCAACTTCGACACAACCACCACCCGAATTAGACTCTTGGGACAGGAGCTCTGCCCATGAGCCGAAGTTCCCCCTGCACTGGTCGTTCCTGGATGCTGCGTGAGTCCTGTTATTGTGCTCCGGCTGAGCCCTCCTCCGTTCCTCTTCACCACCCTCGTCTATTAGAACAAATCGGCCGCTGGCCATCAGTTCGAGGAAGACAAAAAAAAAAAAAAAAAAAAAAAAAAAACGGTGCATTCCGAAACGTCCTACCTCGTCAAAGCGTCGACTAACATACGTCCGCGTGGGTACCCACCTCAGCCACTGCCCATCTCGATGGCCTCGCATACCATAGCCAAATCAATGACAATCCTCCTGTTTTTCTCCCCCGCGTTCTCCTCCTGATGTATCTAAGACCGCTGCGTACAAATAGACACAGCAGTGCGCATGAGCTCTC